GTTTCACGGATTTATTCAGCGTCGACTTTTATTAAAATGATAAAAGTACTCACCTTTCTCGTCGTCTTTTTATTAGCATAATACTGAATATAACTACTACTGTAATGAGCAATACCGCTGCYCCAGTAGCTGCGCCAGCGATCAARGCACAGTTGTCAGAGTTYGATRCAGGCTCTCTCGTAGTCTTAACATTGGGTGCGAATGTTTGTTCCTTTTGCACCGTCGTTGATGCTGGACCAGTTAATGGTGCTGTTTGTGGAAGTATTTTTCGTATACTTTCTGAYGTAGTTKTYRCTGGGATTGAAGGAGGAGCTGCTTTATTAGAAGGTAATAACATGCTTGAACCTAATATCATTGAAAGCGTAGAATGATTAGCTGAGTGTTAGCATATCTATTAAGTGTAGGTACAGTGGGGATAAAGAAAAACTGAGCAATTTTTCCGTATCCACATTTCCAACTATGTCGATAAAAAGTGCGGTCAGGTCTTCATTTTTATGAAACCACAATGACATTGGAGCTACATTTGAGGGAAAAAAATTCTATTGAGATTGGTTGTATACAGTGGGCAGTTAGTCCACTTTGCATATTCCTTTTTTTTTTTTTTGCTCCTGGAACATACTCGTTTAAAGAAATAGCGGAAAACGATCAGGGAAAGGAAGGCCATTTTGGCCACAAATACAAGTTTATTGAAGCTATATATCAAGATATTCTTAATTTAATTCACGCAAAAATWCAAATGCAATTGTCTTCTGATAAATTACGAATATCATTTTAAGTAAAGTATATAGTGCTTTTTTAGTAAAAGCGTAAAACATTACCAATACTAAGTTGTTCTATTTTATGCTAATTCAGTTTTGTTTTCTTTTTTTCAACTAATTCAATTTCGCTAATTTTTGTAATAGAGTGATCGCACTTAATCCGTGCAACTGTACAAACTAAATAGTTCTATTTAAGTGTATTTAGTAAATCGTGCACGCGGTACGCAAATAAATCAAATTGACATAAATGAAGCATTCAATACTGTCTTGTTTCAAGTCAACTTTTAGTACAAATTAGTACTACTTATTTTTTGTACAGATGCACGTTTTTTAAAGTGCAATCACTCTACTATTTTTGTAAATTGCTCAAAAAAGTAAAAAGAKGTTAATTAAATTTCACGGATTAAGTGCGTTAACTCTAGTAGTGTTTCACGCTTTTACTGAAAGAACTCCACACTGAATTTACTCACAGTTTTGTCGGCCTTCCACCTTGAAAAGAATGCAGAATGAGTGTGTAGTTCGACCATTCTGTCGGCAATCTATGTTTACTTTGATAACTCTTCCTCTAACTTTAAAAATCTGATATGATGGCTTTAAATAAAACAAAGATAATGCTGTTATTTATATATAATGGAAGAGTGTATCCCAGATGTTAAGGCTAAACGATAATTATGCAAATTATAGTTATCACAGTGCATTTAATCTGTGAAATTGTACAAAATGAAATCACAATTCTTGGCTTTAGTTACGTCATCACCATCCATGTTGGATAAAGATAACAAAGCATTCCTCATTAGTTTCTCTTGTTCATTTATCCAACATGGCGGTGATATCTTTGTTTTTTATTTCTCAGGGGATTCCTGTGTAGTGTTCACGTKTAGAATCACTCGGCATCAGTGATGTTGTAAACTCGCGTGCAACGGTAGTTATGCAACGTAAGATTGACCATCCTTGGGAACCCAAGGGTAATTTTCTGTCGTTCGTTCCTCGCTCCCAGAAAAACTAATACCCCTGCGCACGAAGCCTGTTAGACCTTGTTCTCGATTTGAAATTCAAAATGACGGCCGGTAATTTCTGATTGGTCGAGTGATTAACTGGAAATTTCTGATTGGTTGATTAATTTACCGGCCGCCATTTTGAATTTCGAATCGAGGACAAGGTACAACAGACTTCGTGACCAGGCCTAGGTTAATTTTTCTGTGAGTGAGAAAAGAACGACCCCTGGATTCCCGAGGATGAAGATTGCAGCTTTGAATCAGTAATTAACCAACCATCGAAGACACAACATCCCGGACATGTAGTTACAACCCAAGAAATTTGCACTAAATATGAAAATGAAGCGGTATATATAATTTGAATCTCCATTGCTCTTTATGAACACCATTAGCTRAATTGCACAAAATAGTTGAGTTTCGCAATCTCTTTTTCATTGTATTAGCTTTAATTGTGTGTAAAATTTAGATAAAGCTCGTGACTATTTCATTATCTTCTATATTCACAGATCTTTTTGCATACGAAACAAGTCATTAAACCCGCGAGGTAAAACTTGACAAAACTAGTCCCATCGGATTACCGTGATCATTAGATTTGACGAGATGCTGAACATATTTCCTGCAGAAAATTTCGACCAAGAGCCATTACATTCCAGGAATTCACTTTCTGTGTAGAACCAACAGRATCGAGGGACCAGGAAGCGGGATGCATTGTATTCTATGGTCACTTGTGGATTTAGTGGAATAGTGAAGATATTCACAGCATTTTCCCTGTAGATTGTAACATTCATTGGGCATTCTAAAGGAATAATAGAAAAAACGTCGTTATGCTATACAAATCACTTACATAATGTAATGCAACAAACGAATGCATAGCTTCAGTTATATAGACTTAAAATGCAATTATTGCTGCTTTAATTAGCTTTAGTACATGTTTAGTATGTGCTGTGCTGTGCTGTGCTGTGCTGTGCTGTGCTGTGCTGTGCTGTGCTGTGCTGTGCTGTGCTGTGCTGTGCTTATATTCATTAATTGTTCGAGTTGCTCGTTAAGTTCTTACTTGTTAAGTGTTTTACTTGAGTATTTTCCATACACTTCCAGATTCCTTCAAAGTAAATCAGTATCTTAGATGGGTCGTCACACTCGCACGTACATGGTGAAGCCTTACGAGCTCCAATCGCAGAGCAATWGGAATCCATTTTTTYACACTGCGACTGAGGTAACTTCAACCTATCGGGTAATGTGGTCCATTTATTGTGGTCAATTTGACGCTGTATGGTCAACCCATATGTGGCTGTTTCAAAGGTGATTATGGCTATGATAATAGTAATCACCATATTGAGTTTGATGTTCAATTGTAGATTTTAAGAATAGAAGCTTTTCTGGAAAAAAAAATATAAAGGAAGATTATTTTTGATAATCTAAAATATTATGCAGTGCTGAATTTAAACATCAATAACTGTTATTGCAGTTATATGCAAATTATTTTGAGCAATTGGTTATAGTCTAGGCTTTCGTTCTGTTATTATTCAACAAAACTATAACTGAACCATCTAGGAATTATCAATTATTAGTAAAAGCTAAAATTTCAATAATTGAATATTTAGAATAGCGATTTAAAAAAGAGAAGCCAACATCAATAATTGGATTGACTTCACCAATTTCATTAAGTTTCATCCTTCAACAAAATACTTTTTTTAATATATCACTACGATAGTTTAGAATGAAAGTGATTTATTCTAAACTCACTACATCTATGAAAATCTACCAGCTGTTACTATTAAGAAAACAATTCATTTCTTTCCATTGTATATGTTGTACGGTCTAATAACAACCACTTCGCTGAGACAATTGTTAAAATTGMMAAMAGCCAAGCGAATAGTTATKGTTGATATAGAAGTAACAATGACCAAAAGTAGTATATTAAAGGCTGCTGAATGTACCTACMTTTTGATTATCTAATTCCTTAAGATAATCWACAGCKAGTTGTTCGATGGCAAAGAGAGCAGCTCTTTTGCTCGCATGAAACCACAAAAGTTTCCGCTTTGACTTTCGATTTRACAGGGCTCAAGATCAAACTTCAAGTGTTTTAGTTTCGTCATAAACCAAACCCATTAACCAAGATCAAAACCATTTTAGGGAATAATGAAGTTTTAACTTTTTTGAAGTTTAGAAATAACGTGCATTTCAGGGAGAATCTATTAAATATTTTTGACTGTCAAGAATGAACCGATCTATGCGAAAACTCTTGAGGTGTCAGTCAATTAACCAGAAACATTCAATCCCAACGAAAACGCTATGGCGCACCGCCATTTTGGTAGAGGGCAAGATGTCGATAGCTTTTGGAGTCACTAAACATTCAATTCACAACGAAATAACTTCATAAGAGACGAATTAACGAGATTGACATGGAAAAATAACAAATATATGAAATCTTCTGTAACACGACATTTGTCCTGTTTGTGCTTTGCTTTGATCTTTCAAACCCCACAAGGCCTTGCGATGATGGGCACCCTATTACAAAATATTATCTACTATTTCTTTATTAAATATCGTTCTTCTTACGCATATTCTATACAGATTATTAGTAACGGAGTAAAATAATCATAATCATAACAATGTCAGGTGACGTAGTCATAAGTTCACATATAAATATTCACAAAACTGCTGAAGG